CCACCACAGACTCTGCTCTTCCGACAACAGAGAGCCACATTTTGGTCTCTCGGGCACACCAGCTTCTCCAGCTGAAACCCAACTGTCTGCTTCCCCCGGTGGCAACAGCGGCACACAGCTGGCCTCTCAAGGCTCGCCACCACGAAGCTGAGCTGGACGCCACAGCCCGGACGGCACTGAGCAACTCCAGCCAGACCGATGCAACACTCGGACTCTTACGTAACCGGGCAAGCTCAGATTTTCGTTTACTTTGTACTTCATTAAACTTTAAAAAGAGCTAGAAAAATAAAAAGGAGGGAACGGTTTCTATTTAAAAACTCCAAATTAAACAGGAAGCACTGTGCCGGCCCTCAGCTGCGTGACAAGTAGCGCCCCAAACTTCCCCAAAGCAGGGTTTCACAGAGTGGACGGCGCACGACGGTTCCAAGGCATCTGGATTCCATAAAACAGCCGCCGCCTGGAAGGGGCGTCGGCGGGCTGACATCAGAACCCTGCCCAGGCTCACGCCGCGAGGCCACATGCTAATTAGGAAGAAGTAAAGACGAACGGAGACCAACACAAAGGCCGCGACAGCTCACGGAGAGACCAAAACACACAGACGCAAGTAAGGGTGACGGGGGTAAAATGTAATACAGCGGCCTGCAGGCTCTTCTGTGTTTAACAAGAACAAAAGGACAGGTGACGGCGTTGTGTGACCATCAGGGACCAGCTGAAAATGCCCCACAGGCTCCTCTCCCTGAGACTCGAGGTGCGGCCACACTGAGCGTGTGGCGGGAAGCGCTCTGCTCCGGGCTGCACGTGTGCAGCGGGGGGCGTCTGAGCCCGGGCGCCCACCACGGAGGACGCAGAGCTCTGCGAGCACCCCGGCTGCCCACACTCACTGCACGGCCTTGCACTCTCCCGAAGCCACCTGCGCTGTCACGAGGGCCGACACAGCCCTAGCCGGGCATCAAGCACAGAGCGCCGTTTCAGCAATGTGGGCCCATTACAGGACTTGTTCACTCCTGCTCAACATTCCTTTGCGAGCACCAGAGAGACTACAGCTCTGCTGGAGAAAAAGCCATGGAGTCCACAGGTGAACTGCTGGAGTCGTGTCTCGTTTTAAGAACAGACATTGACACACTTTTTCATGCCTAAAAACAGCACGCCATCCGGTTACTAGAGCACACTCTTACCCCCTTAGAGCACCCTACGCCTCCGACCCTCCCTCCGAGTTCCACACTCGGGTATCCAGTGATGCATGCGATAACGCGCTCGCTTGCCTAGCTCAAAAGGCATCCACCCAGCTCTCAAATCTAACACGCTCAAAACTGAGCTCTCGATTCTCTCCCAGCCAAAACGTGCTCCTTTTCAGGAGCCCCACCTTCAGTAAACACTCCCACACGCCCAGCTGCTGAAGACAGACCCGGGATACACTGTGATATTTCTCTCTTCCGCTCACTACATATACCCAGTTCAGCAACCAAGGTGAAAGCTGCCATTCAACGAATACACATCAGCGCCCAAGATGCACCACAAGCTGGCAGCCCTGCAGCGGCGGACGAGCCGGGGCCCGGCTGCCTGCAGGGGTGTCTGTCCCAGCGACGCCACACTGCCCCATGAGTAAACGTGCTGCCGCGGCAGCCCGGCCTCCGTCTCCACCGCCACCTCCTTTCCCCGCTGAGCGGACACTCCTCCCACTTGCAAAACCAGGTGTAGCTCCCTCACTAGCCCCTGGCTGCACTTCTGAGCCCCTCAGACCACGCTCTCCAAGGCAGGAAGAATAAACTCTCAGGACTGCACTCTGATCCCACCACGTCTTACGTGAGCCCTTCAGTGGCTGCTCCCTCTAAAGCCTGCAACTGCAGCAAGCCCTTGGGCTCCTTGGAATCAGTCTCCTGGGGACCCTGCCACACGCCTCACTGACCACTGCCCTGCCTGCTTTCCCGCTGTGACCACACGCCCGCGGAGCAGAGCGTCTGCCCGCCTGGGCCCCACGGGGGGCCTGCAGACCCTGCTGCACGGCGTCTGGCCTCGCCTGCTCTCAGGTCGCCTCCAAGGGCTCCCCTCGCCTCCGCGCTCTGGCCCCGGGGCCGCAAAGTCTGTGCCCGCCCCTCCGCCAGGCTTCACGGCTCACCCTCCGAGGTCCAGCGCGCAAGGCATCTCCTCAGGGGACCTTTGCTGATCTCGACTCTATGCTGGCAGGGAGAGGGTTTCCCGCGGCTGCTCTTCACCGACCCCGGCCACGCACCTGGCGCGGCAGAGCCCTGGGGCTGGCGCCCTTCACTCCTGCCTCTCGCCGGCAACCGCAGGCACGGGGACAAGGCTGGACGGTGACTCTCAGCCTGGCTCCTTGTCCTAGCTGCCCACGGACACCTGGCAGCCGGGCAAGGCCAGAGGCCGGCCAGAGGGGGTTTGGGGGGCGCCCACGCGGTGCCTCACTGTTCGCTACACTCAGGACTCGGGCCAGAGGGAAGGGCCCAGAGACACTTAAGTAGATCCTACTTAAACCTACAGAAGACAGGTAGCTTTGTACTGAAAGAAATAAGGAGAATTTCAAATCTCAAGTAAGACAAGTATCTGAAATAAGATTTTTATGTACATATATACATGTAAAAATCAGAAAATACGGGCGCTACATTTTTCCTGTATATTGGAGTGTGGTGGGGCAATTTTTATCCTAATAACTTTCTGCCCCCCTGAAAATGGGCATGTGACTCGCTGAGCAAAGAGAAGAACAGTCTGCGGCCTGTAACTTCCCACTCACATCCCCCAGCGTTCTGAGCTGTGGGCCCACCTGATCACGACAGGCGGGAAACGTGGCCCACAAGCGGGACCGCATGGGAAGGGGTGAGCGTTGAGTCCTGGCCTGCGAGGCTCTGGCCTGGCTCCTTGGCCTCCTTGGGTGAGCCCAGGTGATGCGGTGCTTCAGACCCAGGCTGCTGTGCCCCAGACCACACCTGCCTTCCACGTGCTAATGCAAAGGCTCAGCTCCTCTGGCTGCTTTAGTCCCAGTGCTGTACTGCCTCCCGCACACCAAGGCCCTAGAATCTCAGTTTCACCATGTCCCTTCTTTCTTCCAAACCCTCTCGTTTCTCTGAGAAACAGAACACCCCACCTGTCAATGGAGAGTCTTTAAAATGAGAGAAGGCCCTCTTTCCCCTCTGCTCTCCCCAGACAGGGCCGTGCTGTGCGGTGTTCCCTTGCTGCAGTGCCCGCGTGGCACGTGCATGCGGCTCGCGACCTCTAGGACCCCTGCTGCTAGGAGCTGCAGCCTGCGGGGGGCCAGGGACCCGGGGGCCCGCTGCACACGGACACGGGAGCAGGGTGTCGGGTCCCTCCCGCCCTGGCTCCCCGGGAGCACCACCTGCCCAGCTCGGGGAGCTCGCACCCTGGCCCGTCCACGCAGTCGTCACCTTGGGAACACAGCGGGCCCGGGGCTCCATTCCCACGCCCTTGCCCCCTCCCAGACGCAGAACTGGACGCGCAGCTCGGCCCCGACAGCTGCTGGCCCAAGACCTCAAGAATGATGGCTAGCAGCTCGGCCACCACCTGTCCCGTCCTACCTTTGCTGCGACAATGCTAAGGCCCATTCCGTTCTGCTTTTTGAGGGTCACCGTGATTATTTCAGGTTCTTTCCTCAGAGGCTGCGCCTAAGAGATGGAAACAGAACTTTACTACAGGCCTGAAATGCAAGTACCACCACTTGGTCACTCGTCTTCTCTCCGGTAGTGGGGGGAGGAAGCCAACAGGGTGGAGAAGTAAACAGTAACGTCAGTGAACACAGATGATACTCCTGGAGTGACCTGGAAATGCAAGCACCAACAGTCCTGACTCCAGAGCCTTAAAGATGCATCATCACAGATGCTATTTAAATGTTATCGAAAGAACTTCATTTATAAAATAAAACTAACCTTGCGTTACTACCACATGAGAAAAACCTGATCGTAAAGAGAAAATTAAATTTTTTACTTTATTATCTTTCAGCACCAATTACAAGGTGTTTTTTAAAAAAGAAATTTACACTTACTTTACACTGTCTGTGGGGAGGACTGCAAAAACGGTGACGACAAAGATGATCTCACATCTCTTGTCTCTTAAGAAAATTCAACAGCAAAAATACAGCAGCCACAGGCTTCAGACAGTGGGGCCCAAAGTTCTGCATGATTCTGTGAAGCCCGTGGCTGGGAAATAAGTTACCGACCAATAAGACACAGGCCAGTTTCTGAACAGATCCACCACCAAACGAGCAAAAGTGAAATTAGCCACCGAAGGTACCTGTCCTGTACATGTCACACCTCATGTGAAAGAGTTAACAAAAGTAAAGAAGAAACGCCCAGTGCCCACACTGAGAGAATTTAATTAGTTAAATACGTAAGTATGCAGGCACATGGCCAAGAAGTGGTGACTGTACACATGGCTTGTTAATTGAGCACCAAAGTCTGGATGATAATATTTTAAGGGAAATAAATAAGATGAGGTGACAAAGCTTTTTAAAATATGAAGACCTGAAATCTTCTCAGGGATCCATGAATAAACCAGAAAGTTGAAAAAAATCAGTGATTCCATCTAAGGTACTTGTTTTTCTATAAAATCTGGGAATTAGAAACTGCTGCTATTACTTGCTATTAGCTAAACAGCAGCTAGTAAAGAGTATTAGCGGCACATTCACTGTATCAGTAGCTAAATGTGATCTACTTGGTGTAACAGCAATCACCAACTAATTCAATTTTGGAGATGCTCAAATCTAACGTCTGCTACTAAGCAAAAATAATTACTTTGAATTTAATATACAAAACACATCACACTGTTCACCTTACATTAAGTGTTGTCACCTTACATATTCTTGTCTTCTTAGAAATTAGGTAAGTACTAGGCACAATGTTTTGAGTAAGGAATAAGTTAGGACACCACAAGGAAGTTTCTAAAGCTTCAGAAGACTTGTGGCTGTTTTTCATAGACGAGAATCCCTGAATCTTGGCCTGGGCACACTGGTATCAGGGCCAGGGGACTGACTGCCACGTCCGTCGCATGCAGCACACCGACCCCGCCCACAGTCACCTGCCCAACGTGTGGTCACTCTGCTTGGCTCCCCTGAACCCTTACGTGGCTGAAGAGGCGATTACATTTAAGGTAATGTTTAAGGTAAATGGAATGGAACAAAAAAGGTTCTAAAAGGAAAAATTTCATTTGTTTGTATTTTTCCTGGAATGACTTGCTAGTGTACGTAGCATATGACAACTCTGGTCTGGCATCACTTTCTAAGACAAGGAAAAGCACCCTTTCTTGTTTAAAACTCTCTGTGGGAAGCAAGGCAGAATTTTCCCTAAAATCTATGAGGCTAGTGAATGCTGGGATGACCGCTCTTTCAGAAAGATACAAAATATTAGTAAATGATTTGGCACACACTTAAGACAAGGTCGAACTGACTAGAAAAAAGAAAATAACTTTTACCAAAGAAAACTTTTCTAATAAAACCCATTGAGACTACCATATTAATGTATTTTTTAAATAGGTATTATGGTTGATGTAACTGTGGGTATAAGTATGCTTTATTTTTAAAAGTACCATTTGTTTACAGACAAAACTATATAGACGAGGACTGAAAATAAAAAAAATATTTTCAAGTCGTAAGGCACCCGCCTCTTTTCCTTGTCCATCTGTCATTGTCGTGATACTTGCCAGTTCTGTGTTCTCCCGTGTAAGGTGACTCTCATAATCTGCACCTTCAAAATATATTGTCCAAGTGCCTGGCGAACGTGGGTGAGGAATTAACCTGCAAAATCCTGGGGAGAAAACAGGCAAACTGTTAAGAATGAAAAACACACCACGTCGGAGACCCATAATCTTCAACAAGGGAAGCAACAGAAAGCAGCAACTGCATGATACCTAAGGACAACATTTATTTTCCTTAATTACTTTTACTCTCTCTGAAAACTGAATCATCAGACATTTAAAATTGCGTATTTGCTTTGGTCCAATGGAATTTCAGCACCAAGCAGAGAAGTGAAATTGGTCTCCCCTCTTCTTTATTCCAAAGACTTTTTCCCTTACATCGATGAAAAATTACAGAAGTGCACGGAAATTGCTTCCTTGCAGATTGGCCTGCTCTGCTCAACTAAGAGCTCCTCAGTCACACTGAGAATCTCTAACACAGGAAAGGCAAGGGGCCAGAGAACGGCACCAGCACAGACGTCTGCGCACAGGCTCACACGCTGGGGCAAACGATCTATTCCCCTCGTATAGCAATTCTGGGGTAGGACTGGCCTCCTTCTCATCACTTTGCCCAAAATTTCTGACAAGTCACAACTCAGTTAAATTTCTTCCAAACGAAAATTGAGAATCATTTTATACCGTTTTAAAGAGTATCTCTGATATGTTCATCGGGGACAAATGACATCTTTACAAAACTAAGCCTACGTCATTCCTCATTTGTCAGATCTTACAGAGTTTCTCAGAGATTTCGTGACAAAGTCAGATCACACAGGCCCTGCACAATTCTTCTTTTCTCCAAAGTGGTCTTATTAGCAGCAGCTAACAATTACGAAGAGCACACTGCTTGCCAGACATGCCCTGGTCCCCACGACCTGGGTGCTGGAAGGGTGGGGGTGGGGGGGTCCTGGCTGGCCCCTGCTGGTACCCTCATCCACACTAGTGTTCCACCAGCAAGGATCACTTGGGCTGTTATCTTTGGACAGTTATGACGTTGTTTGTGGTAGAGGGAAAAGAAGACATCACAAATATACTCAATTAAAATATGGGCACAAAATATTTTTACTTAGTTTTAGTCCTTTTTTTTTTTTAAAAAAATCAGTTTCAATCCAGTTTCATTGAAATATTACATACAATTTACTTCTCTTTCCCATGTTTTAGGGAATCATAATTCTCACGGTTTTGAAACGTCAACCGTTGTAATTTTCTAATTTTTTAAACATCAGGTTTGCACGTCTGGACCATACGCACACAGTTTACTTTCTCAGCATCAGGAACGCACCTCAGGTCAGGTATGAGTCGGTGCTGGTTTTATAGCTTCTCTCATAGAATCGTATTACACGAAAAAGCCAAAGGAACATAAATTGAGAGCACACAGCAGTTCTTTCTTGGGCTTACAAAAAACTGAGCATGAAGAATTAAAACTGCTGACGTCAGAGAAGAAAACACCCAGTTCTCTGTAAGTCTTATTTAAAAGCGGCTTTGTACTTGGCTACATTATCATCTAAGATGTATGAAAACAGCGTGGGGCTGCCTAGACCGTGAGGAAATAGCACACATGCCCCACAACGAATCATTCAGGAAAGCCTAAGGGGAAGTCGCAGAGAAAATGGCATCGTGCAGTCAGGATGGCGCTGCCCCCGGGCTGGCCAAGACCTTCTCCGCAGCACCTACTGTGGAGCCGGCAGCTGGGTACCCAGCACGCCTAGCACGTCCGACGGGGGCTGGTGAGTCAGCCTCCGCAGGCTTATTCACGAGGTCCTGAAGAGCAGCTCTGCCGGCACGTGGCCCCGAAGGCCCTCTGCCTGGCACTGAGCAGGCGGAGAGCAGGGACGACCGCCAGCCTGTCCTGCTGGATGCACACAGACGGCTCACACGCTGGCACTAAGTATCACCGAAGATGGGGAGAACCACGGGTGGGGAAGGTGGCAGCAGTGTGAGGGAGAGGCTGAGTCCGCAGACAAAGGGATGCTGGCTGGAATTTCAGAAAACAGGGCCACTGCCGGGAGTCAGACAGCGGGAAGAGGAATGGACACAGGGAGGGACCACATGGATGCACAGCACACGGTCCGGTACTGGGAACACGGCTCATGTGCTTGCAGGTAGGGGGCCAGGACTGGCAGGAGATGGCGCCACGCCCAACGGCAGGTGACGGGGACGTTCAGAGCAGGAGAGCAGGAACCAGCCCGGCGGTGAAGGTGCAGGGCTGCTGAGTGAGTGTCGGGGAGCCCAAGGGAGCAGGGAGGACACCCCAAAGCAGCCCCATGGCCCCAGAGCAGCTGCCCTGGCCACCACTTCCCTACCAGGCCCCCGCTCAGGCCACTGCGGCTCAGGGACTCCCGCTGCCCAACTAAAGCTCTCTCAGACGTGCCTGCAGCCTGCACCCCTCCCTTCCGCCCTGCTCGTCCCAGAGTCAGGGCTGAACTGAGGGCTCTGCCGGCCCACCGCTGCCCCCGCCCCTGCATCCTGCACACACACCGATGCTTTAAGAACCACATCCCACCCTGCCTGTGCTTCTCCCAGGACAGCACCAAGAGCTCAGTCAGTGCTCCGGGGAGGGTTACAAACACAGCTGCCAGCTGCTGTACAAACACATTTCGTTACAAGCAGCAGCCTTTATATAATGAATTTTTTAAAACGATCAAAACCTTTGAAGATGTAAAGACCTATTGTGGTCTTTACTGAAGACCACATTCACTGAAGTTAAAAATCACACTCACTAAGTTTATATATTTATATATCTACGGACCTTAATTTAAACAAATAAAAACAAATAATAGAAAAGTTAACTCCTAAATTTTGCATCTCTTCTGCTACTCATCTGAGCTCCACATTACACAAAAGCAGCAGACTGGAAGTGAAATCCGGTCTAATTTAAAAGCTCGTGGTTCAGGTGTAACTGTGGTACAGGCAGGCCTCATTTTATCACGCTTTGCAAAGATTGTTTCCCCTACAGATGGAAAGGTCTGTGGCAGCCCTGCATCAGGCGAGGCTACAGACGCCACTTTCCCCACAGCATTTGCTCACTTCATGTCTGCGTGTCACATTCTGGTAATTCTTGCACTCTTTCAAACTTTTCCATTATTATCACGTGTGTTACAGTGACCTGTGATCGATCTGTGACGACTGAGACTTGCTGAGGCTTGGGCGGTGACCAGCATTTTTCAGCGATAAAGTACTTTTTTATCGAAGGCACGTCCATTGCTTTTCAGACGTAATACTTTTGCACGCCTAACAGACGGATTACAGCACGGTGTGAACATAACTTCCGCACGTGCACTGGGAACCAGAGCTTCAGGCGCCTTGATTCCCTGCGGCATCCTCTTCATCGCCGTGGCCTGGAACCAGACCCACGACGCCTCCAAGGTCGGCCTGTGTCTTCCTCGGTACACATCAACAAGACAGTGGACAGAGGGCATAGAGTAAAAGCGGGAAACGAGCTGCGCTGTGCCGGGGCATCGGCATACACACGTGTGCGAGCCTGGCATTGTGACGTGCACGGGCTCGCCCCGTGCCACAGTGCCAGGGGCTCCACGCTCAGCAACCTGCTCAATCCTCAAGACAGCCCTGTGGGGTGGCACCGTCAACACGCCCACTGCACAGGGGAGGTCAAAGGCAACAGTGGGGTCAGAGCTCCGGCCGTCTGGTTCTAACGCTGGTGCTGTTCTTGCCTGCTCTGCTCTGGGGGCACCAACAACACTTATGGTTCGTGCTTACAGGGCAGATGGAGCTCCCAGGCTCACACAGAACCCAGGAGGGAGGGGCAGCCAAGGTCCCTCTGCTGTAACTCTGACACCGGGCGAGCAGAGAAGTGCTCGAGGGCGGCCGGGGCAACAACCAGGACCCCGTGGTCTGCACGCCTCTGACCCCACGTCCCCACGGGACGCTCCCTTCCAAGCCGCTGGACCCCCAGCGTTTCCAGCACACAGGGCGCACACAACACGGGTGGGCTGACACACACCAACACACGAGCGCAAGGCTCGCCTGCACGCGGGCCAGCTCAGATGCCAGGTGTGGGCACCGCCACCCACCTCTCTGGCACAAAGGGTCCAGAAACTCCTGTAAGCCGTTTGGGATGTTTCTGACGACGTCGCAGGAGTAGCCGTCCTCGGGCAGAAGGAACGGCAGCTGCAGGTCGGGGTCCTCCTCCAGCTGCACCTCCCGCCCGTCACTGCGTGCCAGCTCGTCGGCTGTGTTCTCCGCCACAGCCACCACATGCTCCATCAGGTCCTGGTTGGAAAACAGACATAGAGCTAAGGACACACTCGGTGACAGGCGCAGCTGACCAGCAGCTGTCAGAAAAACGTTTAACCACGCGTAGCGTGGCTACATACGCGCAGGGAGAGTGAAATCTATCAACGATTCAAATCAGTCTGTAAAGCAATAAAACACCAGCACAGCACATACTCTTAATATATCAGCTTCCATATTAATTGTTAATTTCAAAAGACCTGTAGTTTTAAACAGAAAGAAATTCTTTGACCACAAGAAAACGGTCTTTTTCCCTTCTCAAAAAGTTTTTTCCTTGCACAATTTTTTAACATCCATTTGCTAATAACCTTATTTTTATACTTAACAACATCGGAAAAAGCTCACACAACGTTAAACGTAAAAAAAATCAGGACAAACATATCTATTCCCAGCTTACGCAGAGGTCATTGCCTTACTATGGGTTTATGGGTGATTCTTGTTTAAAAACTTTCTGTTAGTGAGATAACGTACACACAGTTCACAAATCCTAACTGTACAGCCGAGCACACGAACACCCCGCCCCCGCCAGCCAGCCCGATCGGGGGACCGAACCACGCCCACTGCGAAGCCGCCCTCACTGCCCTGTCCTCCGTCCCCAAAGTCTCGGCCACCCAGGCTTCTAACCCGCGTCCTCCTGTGTCCCCAAGTCCGTGCAAAGGGAAGCCCAGGGTGTACGGCTGGTATGTGACTTCCTGTGTTGCTGTGCAGCCATGTTAGGCTCCTCTAGCGGACTGCGACACGGTCTATCTGGGGACAGGTAGTGGTTTCCAGGTTTGGGCGATTCTGTACCTGTCTTCTGTAGGCATAAACCCCACACTGGAGATCAATCCATCCATCCAATTAGGTTACCTCTCTACCGAATTCTCAGGGAACCTGCAGCATTCCTCCCTACAGAGAGCCAGCTGCAGCACGTACTGTTTTCTGTGTTTCTCGCTCTCTGTCCCTTCTAGGAGGCATCCCCAAACGGCAGACTCTGTTCTGGACAAGAAGCTGGGTTTTACCAGGCAGACAGCTCTGCACAGGTTGGGGAGCCCCTGCAGCTACTGCTGCGTGAACACAAGGATGGCACTCGGGGGTCTCAGGTCACAGCGCCGCGCCTGAGCACTCAGATGTCAGGGCAACTTGCTCACTCCCCGCCCCGGCTTTCCAACCATTTTCCAACAACCTCATTCTCCGAATTAAAATCCCTTTCTACTTAACGTGCTTATGTAGTTTCTACTTCTTGCACCGACCCCTAACTCATACAGACATCAACAGCAAAAGCGACCTCGTGAGACGGCCAAGTGAATTATCTTATTTACTAGAGAAATAAGGGAACTGATTACATAAACTTTCCTTTTTCTCCACATTTCCCTGTGCAGACACGGCCCGTATGGAGTGGCAGTGTGGTGCTGTCACTTACTGTAGGGACAAAAGGCTCATCGGGTGCACAGTGGTAATTCTGAAGTAAGGCTTGAAGTTGCAGTGAATTTAACTTGAAGCAGGTACTGTTTATATTTGGGATGTCATCAGGTGCGTACTTATCCATCGTGAGCAAAGTGGTTGCCTATTTTAGAATGAGCAACATGAAATATCATGATTTAAAAGTATTTCATAATATTCCCCTTTACATAACATTTATAAAACTGCAATAACTTGCTAATTTGATTTTGAAATGCAGGATGTTTTTAAGAAAATACAGTTCCATTAACGTTACCTATATGTGTTCAACTGAACTCAAAGCGTCGTAAAGGTTTTTAGATGAACTCTTTGTTTTATTAAAATATATATTTATAATGAGACTCAATAATTTATGTTCAGAGAGCATTTAAAACTTTTTAGAGGGCTTCCCTGGTGGCGCAGTGGCTGAGAGTCCACCTGCCGATGCAGGGGACACGGGTTCGTGCCCCGGTCTGGGAAGATCCCACATGCCGCAGAGCGGCTGGGCCCGTGAGCCATGGCCGCTGAGCCTGCGCTTCCGGAGCCTGTGCTCCGCAACGGGAGAGGCCACAACGGTGAGAGGCCCACGTACCGCAAAAAAGAAAAAACAAAAAAAAACTTCTTAGAAATTTAAACATTTATATAACCATTAAGATCACCAATTGCTAAGGTCTGAGTAAAATACCATCGTAATGACTTCTTTTTTAAAAGATTAATTTATTTATTATTTATTTATTTGTTTGTTTAATTTATTTATTTTTGTCTGCGCCGGGCCTTAGTTGCAGCACGTGGGATCTTCGTTGAGGCACGCAGGATCTTCCGTTGTGGTGGGCAGGCTTCCCTCTAGTTGTGGTGCGCGGGCTCCAGGGTGTGTGGGCTCTGTAGTTTGCGGCACGCGGGCTCTCTAGCTGAGGAGCACAAGCTCGGTAGTTGTGGCGCTTGGGCTTAGTTGCCCCGTGGCATGTGGGACCCCGGTTCCCGGACCAGGGATCGAACCCACGTCCCCTACACTGTAAGGTGGATTCTTTCCCACTGGACCACCAGGGAAGTCCCTGTAATGACCTTTTTAATAACTCACTGACTCAATCAAAGTAAGAGGGCAGAAACCTCTTTCGAAACTAAATCTTAAGAGACTGCAAGAAAAAGCCAAAATTATACACTGTAATAATAGTAAAAAAATGTCCTAGGGTATGAGGCTCTAGATACTCATTTCCTTAACTGCAAAATACCAGTTCCCAGTCTCAATACCTAGGAAATTCCTAGGACTGGTTAAGCCATTAGGACATGGCTCTTCTGTACTCCTTTGTTCCTTTCTTCTTCTCTTGCTGTGTTCCTGGTGATTTGATGATTTTCTGGAGTGGTGTGCTTAGATTCCTTTCTCTTTATCTGTGTACCTGCTATAGGTTTTTGCTCTGCGGTTACCTGGCTTTGTATTCTTAAAGAGGCAATCATCATCCACTTTCAAACTGGACTTTATCTTTCGGTATGGAGCTTTATGAAATATACCTTACTATTCTCAATTTAAAAAGCACTTTAAGGTATTTATTCTACTGAGTACCACCTGTTACGGGCTGTACTGTGTCCTCCAAAACTCATATGGGTAAGTCCTAACCCTGTTTACCTCAGAATGTGACCTTATTTGGAGACACGATCCTAACAGAAGGAATCAAGTTAAATCAGGTCAGCAGGTCTGGCGTCTTCATAAAAGGCGGACGTTTGGACACAGGTGTGCGTCCAGGAAGACAAAGGCAGAGGCGGGGAGGGGTGGCGTGTCCACAAGCCCAGGGACACCAAAGACTGCCAACAGCCAGCAGAGCCTACGGAGGCCTGGAGCAGATTCTCCCTCGCAGGAACCAACGTGCCCTGGCCTTGATCTCAGACTTCTGGCCTCCAGAGACAATAAATTTCTGCCGTTTAAGCCACCAAATTCGTTGTGCTTTGTTCAAGCAACCCAGGCAAACTAATAAACCTATCTGTACATGCGAAAAACCCCAGAAGGAGGGTGCTGAGCTCTGCGGAGTCCACGTTCCCCCCGTGATAGAACCAGAGACATGTACGACAGCGCCAATGAGCGGGGGAGTGGGGCGGGGACCACCCACCTGCACGATCCTGCTGAGGTGACAGTCGGCTGCCAGCTCCAAGCCCTGCTTCTCCGCCCAGGCCTCCACGTGCCCGAGCTGCTGGCGGATGATGGCGCCCCAGTAGTGGGAGCACAGCCCCGACTCGGGGTCGGTTACCAGCCTGTTGAACAGCCACATGTTGATGAAGTGGAAGAGCTGAGAGAAGAGCTGGATGGTCAGCGCGGCGTTGACGCGGCAGCGGCGCAGCAGCGACATGGCCCCCGTGAGCGTATGCAGCACGTCGTCTGTGCAGAGAGACGGCACCGCGTCACCGAGAGGGCTCCGGAATTAGCGGTGAACGCGCATGACGTCTGTTCAGCCTCTTTAGAACAGCAATCTCATCCCAACAGGAAGCAGTGACGTGGTCTCGAACTACCAATACGTAGCGGTATGAACTGTATCTACTTAAGTTCACCCGGACAGACCTCTGGGAAAGTCTGATGTCGCACCAGCCGGATGCGACAAGATGAGAACTCTTCTTAAACAAGACACGTGGCGATCACAATTTATTATTTAAAGAATGCCAGATCCAACAGGATGTCTCGTTTACTTTCATAGTACCTCCCTCTCACATACAGCAAATATTAAAATGAAACTAAACAAACAGGAGAAGGAGGGAAGGAGGGGACGAAGGAGAAAAAGAGAACCCTAACCTATTTTGGGTCTTTGCAGACTGTTCTCTTCGGGGTCGTCCAGAAAGGCTGGCATGTAATTATTCAGTTCTGACTGAAGACAGTGAACCAGGTATCTGAAAATACGTAAACAATTTTAATAATCTCAGAATGACGCCCTGCTATTATCAGACATAATATCACAAGTGAAACAATTCGTACTGTTTAGAAATATCTTCCATGTAAAAAATATATGTAAGAGTTCTACTCTCAGGATTCTGGAAACATAGCTAAGTGAATTAAATTTATGAAATCATCACATTTTGCATATAGTTATTTATGCTTCTTGATATCCATCTTCAATTAGGGTAAATAAAAACCCTTCAAATTAGTTTTGAAAATTTAACCAGAAAACACGATTTAAATCTTTACAGAATAGTATCATCTCCAAACACATGTTCTTACTTAAAGGCCATTTGAACCAAGTGTGCTAGAACATCCTGGGCATCCAACGTGATTCGACTAAGATCTCGGTCCTGCTTTATGAAGTTGAGAAGCTCAGATGCATTTGCCATCCAGAAAGCAAGCGCCCCTGCAATATTCTTCTGTTTCTGTAGACAGAACACGTTTCCATAAGCAACCACGGGACAAACAACAATAATAAAAATAAAAAGGAATGCTCTTGAAAAGCTGCTGAAGATAGACCAGTACCTTCCCATTTTCACCAAGGTATTTACCACAGATACCAGATACTTGCAGAGGAATTTGGGTACATACATAGCAATGGGAAGTAAAAACCCACTGCAACTTCTTAGGATTCATGTAGAGACACATGGATCTAGTGAGCTACAATTTATGGAATCAGCGGGGCAAAGGAGGTATCAAATAATACAACACCAGATTGGAGATGGTGCATTATCTGGTAATCTGTGAAGCATACACACATGTATCCATGGTTACCCAACAGCCACCCTGATACTCAAAGTCACCGGCTTGGACACCAAGCAACTCGGTATCAAGTACTGATCTATCGTGTCATCTCCCGACCACATGTGCAGGCCAGGCAACCTCAGATGAGATCCAAAGAATAGGAACCAAGGATAAACAATAAAGAGAAGAAACAGAACTTTTGTCATTTCATATCCACACTGAAGTGCATTAAGCAAAAGTTATGAAATGCTGATAAAGGTTGCACAGTCAAAAAAGGATTTTAGTACTGCATGTTCCAGCTGCCAAATGAGTGTTATGAGCCTCGGTCCAGCTGTTGTTGTACTTTGACATGGAAGCAGCATGAGAAACTCAGCTAAGCCAACACAGCCAGGAGGATCGGCTCCCAGCAGCATGTCCTACCTGATCAACCCGGTCTACTTCCTGGAGAAAAACAGACGCGGGGAAACCAAGCAGAACGAGAGAAAGAAACTTGTAAACAATCATGATAGTTAAAAAAAAAAAAAAAAATCAAAACACTAACATGAAGGTACGACATGAGGGTACGACATTTAGTTACGTTATTCCCATGTTACACACTCATTTATGGTTCTAAGGCAGCTTTGGAAGTGTAGGGCATAAACGATTAGTTTCATGTTCTTAAAACTGGCACAATGACGAAGGGAATTCCTAGAGTTTATCTATAAAGAAGATGTTACAATAAACAAATGAATACACTGATCTCTTTAAAAGATTTACAAAGAAAAGGACTTAACACCTCTTAACAGTGTTGTGTGTTTGAGAGGACTTAAACATACACAACTTAAGAGTCTATTCTCCTGGATCAGTTAATAAGAATGAAAAGACAAGAAAGACCAGCAGAAACAGTAAGAGCTGAGAACTTAAACATGTATTAAAGACGTGTTATTTCTACACTAGAAAGGAGTAACTTGTTTTTTGAAAGTAGGTTTTTACAAAAAATGAAAGAATTTTAATTATTCCATAATTACTCTCTAAACATTGAAGATTCTTAGATCTCCAATCACACACTGAACCTAGATCTGAAGTCTGAAAGGCCTGCCCTGATAATGGTGATTTCACTGCCTAGTAAGAAAAGTCCATTAAAAGTAGTTTGCTGATGGGAGTCTGATAATTTGAAATCCAAACGCGATGGAAGACAGACAATGGCTCTGAGTGACAACTGGAAAGGAAATCCACGTCTGTCTATAAAATAATAAGAGAGTAACAAAATGGTATCCAAATAAAACGACTTTCCTTTTTATCTGTTTCCTCATTTGGGTCGAAGACTCATAACCTCCTCAAATTCGTAGGCTAACCACTCAAACATAAAAGAAACGCTTCTCGAAAATGTCTGGTCTTTTAAAACAGTTCTGAGGGAATTAAGAGACGAGTCTGCCTCAAACTAGTCTTTTCTAGTTTGAAAAGTATCCTGACAGGAGAAAAACAATCAAACCATCTAGCCATGTCATGTAACATTATATACCTAGAGTTTCACAGCCGAATAATAAATAGTGTTGACAAGTGATTTAGGAACACTTTTTAAACAAATCTGTAAATGTACTTTTAAGGACTTTAAACCTCCAAGTTATCTAAAAGTCTGGAAAACTATTACGCCCATTTTATCAACTATAGACGAGACAGTACTAAAGGCAACAAACCATTCTGCCAAGAGAATATCCTTATTTCCTGAAAATTTAAAAACTGGTTTATAAAAGAATTTGAATCTGATTTTCATCGTAAGTGAGAAATGTCACAATGTCCATTATACCTACACAAGTTTGCTATCAAAAAACCCAGATGCTAACTACCAACATCCTAGTAGGCTCATTATAAAAGAACAAGTCCTTTTTCATAACCATTAAAAAATTCTAAGAAGGTGTCAGGAACTGATGGGGCGGGTAATAGAGAGAAACTGCTCGGTGGGTGAGGGGTTCGTCTGGAGTGATGGAAAAGCTATGGAACCAAGTTCAGGAGGCTGCACAACACTGTGAATGTACTGATGCTACCCAACTACTCACTTTAAAATGGTTCATTTTATGTTACGTGAATTTCACCTCAGTAATTTATTATTATTTTTTAAATTCTCAATGCCTTCTCACAACTAGTGCAATTTCAAGGGTCTTTTTCATGATCATTATGTTACCATGTACAGTTTCTCTTCCCTTATTTTAAATTTTGTAGGGAAGAAACAGAAAACAAGCTTACATTTCAACTTTTAAAGCTATACAATTTCTAACCCTACTTAAGTAACTTTCGTTTTAGAAAAAATTCTTAAGATGAAGTCAAACATGTAAACAAATCTGAAATGTTAAAAAAACTAACTTAACTGATTTAAAAATTATAAACATGGTCATTGAACTGGCACGGCTTTGCAGGCCGGCGCTTACCTGAATGACCCCTTCCATCATGCTCACCATCTTGTTGACAATGGCAATCACTTTGTGCGTCCGTTCTGCGGGACTGACATCGGGTCTGTACTGGCTGGACAATACATACCGACACGCCATATATAACACGTATGTAGGTGACAACTTAAAATGGACTGTAGAGCTATTAGTGTAATTTATAATGGCAGATAAAAATGAATCTTCAGCTGTGAAAAGATTTCAAAAAAGAAGAAGAAAAAAAAAAAAGAACAAAAAAAACCCCATGAAAATCAGATGGAGAAAAATGGAACAAGAAGTAATTCACTACCAAGGGAATCTGAAATTACTCACAACTTTCCCTGAATTCAATGCTTGCAGGCAGTATTAGGTCAGGCCCAGGAGTGTCCTGAGTTCTGAAAGAGTAAAATGGCCATTTCTTAAAATCCGGTCACATTAGCTAATAACATCACCGACAACCAGTGCAGATTTCTACAACTATTTCTTAAACGTCTCTATATAAAATTTTTTCAAATGATACACAGCCCGATGACTGGTTTTCACGTGGAACCTATTCAAACGTTCAAATGAGTGAACTGGGAGTGACCACGTCCCAGCTCCTCACAGAGGTCAGGTCCTTGAAGTATCTGCTTCCGTCAGGAGAACAGATCTGACCCTGTTTCTTTATTATTGATGAAGACGTCGCGTGGAGCAGAGAGATCAGGCTGCCAGGCACCTGCTACCGCGATGGCTCAAGTGACAATGAAGAGACACTGCTGGGAGACACAGAGAAAATCTAAACCACACTGAGCTTGAAACTGAGCTCTCACACAGGAAAAAGAAAAGTGTCCTAAGAGCTAGACATCGCCTTTCTCTCCCAACAGAGGTTAGACACGTGACCCCTGCCATTCCAGGTCCCCCCGACCACTCAGTGTTAGCGTTTGTCCCCGCGCACGGCGACCATGCCGTAGGATGACTAACACGGCTGACTACAGATCTGCAGGTACAGACGGGCGAACTCAAGTGATTCCTTTCCAACAACAAATGTTCTGGTGGCCTCCATCCTCATCTCCACACACCAAAAGATGAATAAGGAGAAATATAATGTGAGTTCATTCAAACTATCATAAACATGAAAAATGAAAACAAAAAAACCTTCTTTTCACCAAATTACATGCTTCAAAGTTTATTATCCAGTCTATGATTTATTAATTTGGATTTAACTCAATAATTTAGGCATAAAAATGCTCCTAGAAACAGAAGTAATTCAAAAGCTCAATTATTTTAATATGTCTTTCTTATGCTGCCATATTTGTAAACATCTGAAATTGTAGCTAAGCAGTTCTTTTCAATTTAATACCCATAACGTGAACCTGGATAAATTTTTACCAATTTTTTTTAATGCTTCATCACTTCAACAAATCTATTAAAAATAAGGAATTTAAATTCTCATTGAAAAAAGTTTGAAAATGTGTCAGTGGTGCTTTACAAGCCTTTTCCATCATCCATAATTGTTTCCTTAACTAAGGTTAGTATTTAATCGCTCATGAAAGCCCCTTAGATTTTTATGAGCGTACCAGTGTAGGAGAACTGCTTATACTAACAATGTATTACATACACGAAAAACACAGAGACTGAAAATGGGAAGAACCATCTGTTTCCATCACTGTCCTCATATCAACAAAGCAACACATATTTATATCCAATAAAACTTAAACAAGTCTTGGCAAAACAGAAGAATATGACCTTGCAAAAAACTTAACTAAAATATATGCTCACAGGAAAAAATAATTTCTGACATACAATTAATCATCATATGGCTATTCTGACACTATATTATCATATATTTATTAACTGTATTAATCAGTTAGTAAGGATATACTTATTAATTTTGCATATATCCTAAAAACACTATCCTAATCAATCTTCCCCTCCCCCAATGATGATTTGCTTATTCAAGCAACTATGGGCTAAGAACTATGATACACACCTCTTGATCACCTTATAAGTAAATGGAGGTTAACTCCTTACAATACTAATTCACTGTTCTGAACATCTAAGTCTCGAATACACTACCAAAAACAAGTCCGGACACAGAAAGTAGGCTATTTATTATTATATCTAAAAAAAATTCTCCACGTGTAATGATTCATATTGTAATTGTAAAAAAATTCACAAAAAAATACTGAATAATAACCAAAAGCCCATAATAAAAATGAGGTGAAAACCTGCGATTCCCAGATGAGTCTACAGATTTAATTACTATGATGGATGATATTAACATCTTATAATGTACAGTGCCCTCTGCTGCAAGATGGAAAACTTAAGAACTGTATCAGTCGCTGGTCACCAAACTGGTAAGTGACCTGCCTCAGCTAATGCCTTGGTTACTGGATCTGTGAAAGGGAACAGTCAGAATGGCCTCATCAAAAATCTGAATAGCACCAAAAGACGAGCGTTCCCGGTTCCACTGCTGACGATGAGAGTATTCACACCAAGCTCCCCCGTTTCCGTCCGAGGAGGGCTCAACACCTACGGTGAACCACCATGCTTTCCAACACTGAAACAATTTTAGAAGCCACAAGGAAACAGAATTCTGACTTAAGGTGAGATATATTTAAAAATCTTAAGAAAAGGAAATAACAAAAGGTCTAAGTTCTCTGTTCAAAAAAACTAGGCAAGACCAGTGCCAGCAGAGAAAAAGACTCATCTCCGTCTATCAACAGGGAGCCATCAGAGCGTGAGACAGAGCAGGATGGCACTCCGTAACCCTGAAACACTCAACTTCAACGTCATTTTTGGCTCTGTGTATTTTTAAACACGTGAGGATTTCCTCTGGAAATGGGTCAAATGATTAGTCTTATCTAAATATCAAAATGATCAAGTATTAAAATCCTACAAAAATTCCCTTTCTCCCTGTTTTTACCAAGTAGCACATTTAACATCGAAACATCTTAATTCAAACTGCCTCCCATTTCAACTGGATGAGGCCGTGGCATGTAAGCGAGGGATGTAACTGCTGATGAAGCGTTTTTTTTCCAATTCCGTAACATGAAAGGAAATAACCTTAAAGTACTGCTAACACTCTAAAAATGTCAGCCAAACCTCTGGAGTAACCTTTAACCCAAACCCTCTCCAGGTGTACTTTCACTCCTTTCACAATTCCAAAGGCACCCATTTCCCACCTGCTTTCTTGCCTGCGGTAGTCCAGCTGCTGCTCCACTCTGACCATGGGCTTCACCATCCCTCGCTCGGCGGTGCTGGCGGCAGACAGCCCCCTGTCGCCGTCCAGCCTGGAGGAGCTCTAAGTCCAGGGGAAACACAGGGCGTTTAAACACAGCACGCGGACCAACCACGCTTCACACTCAGTCAGCGTCACGGGGGAGGCGGGGGGGGGGG